GCCCTGCTTGCTCAGATTTCACTCTCCTAAGCAACTTTTAGCGTTTGCACGAGAGCTCGGGGCATGCAGCGAGCCTGCCCCGTGCGTGTGTGTTGGAGGTGTGGGAGGAGAGAGGCTCTGGCTCTCTCCCGGTGGCCTGAAGAGCCAGCTGGAGGAAGGAGGCAAGAGGAAAATAAAGGCAGCCCGGTTTTTGGGCCCACACGTCTTCTCCCAGGCCTGCGGGAGCAGCTCCGAGGCGCGCGCGCGTGTGTGTGGAGGGGCTGTGTGGGTGCTACGCGGCCTGTGTGTGTGTACGTGGAGATGTTGTGTGGGTGCGTGTGACTGGGAGGGATTCGTGCCCTGGGGTACACCGCAAATCCCTGCTCCATCAGCAAAACCTGAGGCGTCTATTGCACCCCTGCATGTGCTGGGTGCTCTGCAGGAGAGAACAAGCCCTGGTGCATGGTGAACAGGGCCAACGTGCACAACGTAAGTGGGGTTTTGCATCCTATCTATGCATTTCCTTATCGTGCTGCCGGTCCCAAGCAACCTCAGGGGCCCAGACCCATCCTGCCTGCCAGCTGCCCCGCACCCTGCAGGATTCATCCCTCTCCTCCTTCCCTTCCTTTCCCCCGGCGTCGCAGCCTCTGCTCCATCTCCAGCCCTTTGGAAGGCAACACCCCACCGTGGCCGCGCTGTGTTTATCCGAAATAAAACGCAGCAGGCTGGTTTACTTTGGCAGCTTTGCAGTAAATACTGGCTGCAGCGCGGGGGGCGTCTGGTGAGCGGCAATTACACGCTTCTTCCGAGGGAAACTCTTCCCTGCCCTGTGCAGGCCCTTCCCCAGCCCAGCAAAAGGTGTCAGTAAATGCGGGCCGTGTTGACACAGCTCCATCCCAGAGTAGCACTGCAGGCCACAAGTGTAATGAAGCGGGTCCCTTAGGGAGCGAGTCTATATACTCGGACTACTATATAAACTGCTACGGGGAGAGGGGGGGTCAGTACTGCAGCTCTTTGCCTTTCCCTTTGGCAGAGCCCTTCCTCCAATTGCCAGTTGAATTTCAAGGAAAGCCTGGCCCAAAAACTGCAAAATAACCTGCCTAGGTCCAAAAAAGCAC